TATAATAATATAGAGATATCAGAGCTGACTATTAGGCATAAAGGACTTGTGGCAAATTCTACACACCACTTAATTTTAACAGCAAGTGGGGGTCTCGAACGCAGAACAGACTGCTCCAATCTTGGTTATTTTAACCCCTCGACTACCTCAAAAAAATGTTAAACTTTCCACACTAGCTGCTTTGGTGGTGGAAGTTTTGAATATATTTGGTCCGTTGCACTCCTTTTCTGATATTAGTGGAAATCATGTTTCTTTTTTTTGTCACTACAGTGGAAGTTTCTTAATTTTTGAAATTATTTTCTTGGTTGTAGAGTTTACGATCAGTGCAGATATCTTGACTGTTGTGTTGATATGAAGAGCAAAGGAAGGAATCCGTTTGCTTGCGATAACTCGTCTTCATTTTCTAAACCTCTCATTGATATTTATATGAAAAACTAGGTCGAAATGTTTTCTTGGAAGATCAAAACCACTGAAAAAGGTTCCTCTTTCTGTTAAAAAAAGCAACAGAAGTTTGATTTTTGAATTTCGAAAGTTATAGAAGTTGACTCACATGAACGTGATTGATTTGAATGCGTTCTTTGAATATTAAAAATTTGTTTGTTAGCGAAAAGCATGTTCTCTTGAAGAAAAATGTTTCCCTTCGCCCTGTTACTACTTTTCCAACCTTATAGTTGATGATTCTTCTTAAAAAATGTTATCTTATCAATAAATTTATGGATACAACTTAGCTAAAAAATTCGTTATAATATTTGTCGTAACGTGCATCCAACATGCGGAGATAAATTGATATGAAATTATGAAGCAAACTGAAACAGTTTAACATCAAGGCGCAGCCTATTCCCAAGGTAAAAAATTGCTTGAAGTTCAAAAAAGCTCAACAAAATGGCGCATTAAAACGTGGAGCATCAAGCATTTCCAGTGACAGTCCCTCAATTGGCAAGGCTAGGAGCAGGCTTAGCAAGATCTTAGCATTATTCTTTAGAATTTTTTTTTGTAATTTTGCAGCTTTACGGCTAGAAGCAGGCTTACTGAGATCTTTGATTTATTCTTCCATTTTTTTGAAATTTCGAAACTTTATATTTATTATTCGGGCATCTTGCCCGGTTCTTTCAGGGATAAAATTCATATGACAAAGCATAAATTTCACTGTGGATGAAGTCCTTAACTCATATGTTAGATTGTCAATAATTGTTTGTTGTCTCAAAAAATTATAGCAAAAACACGAAGTCCTCTATGAGCGTTATAAAAGAAAACGCTTAGAAATCTCGCCTTGTGGTTTGCAAACTTAGACTTAAAGTAGGCTTCATCAATACCATTATTGTTAGTGCAACACTAATAACAATTACCCAATACTAAAATTTAAATCAAGTTCTTATATTATCAGTCTGCATTTAAAAAATTAAATTAAATTAAATTAATTAAATTAAACTCCTTTAATTTCAATCAATATCAATATATTCGTAAGCTGACCGAGCTCAATAGGCGCATATACCGTCGTGCAACATTAATAAAAATAACTCAATACTCAAATATCTATCAATATCAATAAACTCGATTACTCAATACTAAAATTTAAATCTGGTTCTTATATTATTTATCAGTCTGCATATAAAAGTTAAATTGAATTAAATTAAACTCCTTGAATTTCAATCTATATCAATATACTCGATTACTCAATACTAAAATTTAAATCAAGTTCTTATAATAATTATTTATCATTCTGCATAAAAAAATTAAATTAAATTAATTAAATTAAACTCCTTGAATTTCAATCAATATCAATATACATGATTACTCAATACTAAAATTTAAATCAAGTTCTTATAATAATTATTTATCATTCTGCATAAAAAAATTAAATTAAATTAATTAAATTAAACTCCTTGAATTTCAATTAGTATCAATATACTCCGATAGCTGGCCGATCTCATCAGGCCCAAATACCAGCTTGCAACATTAATAACAATAACTCAATACTCATATATCAATCAATATCAATATACTCGAAAGTTGGCCGAGCTCATCAGGCCCAAACGCCGTCTTGGTGGCCACCCCCCGGCCGCCCTGGGCAAATTACAATGAAGATCTGCTGCGGTTTAGGGACAGCCGAAGCGGGATCCTTCTTGATCCTCCGCACTAATTCGTTGTTCGATCAGCAAATCCTTAGGGGATCTCACGACTCTGCCTGTGGTTCTTAGCTGCTGAAGATTCGTTTCATGAATCTTCTTAATAACTGTTTCCATTTCCATCCATTAACCATTACGCAATTATTTCAGCAATCAATTTCTGATGCAACCAAATAATTTCCATGTTTCTTACGCATTGTGATTATTCAACAAAGAATATATACAATTGATTTCTATTCCATTAACTTCGATATGAAACTCTATAATAAACTAATTCATTTATGTAGCTGCATCACAAATTTGACCATTAACGAATAAAAAAGAAGCTGCAAGTCAACACTGCCAAATGGCGGCCATCAGGAAAGAACACGGTAGGAGAAACTACACTTTAACCCAATATACCTTGCATGCGTCTAAAAGTATCTTGATAGAAGATTTATCGAAATCCTTAACGTCCTCAGGTTGATAAAATCTTCGAGGTTGAGGTCATATTAATTCGAGGTCAACCTCTTCTTTTTCGAGGTCGTATCTTCGAGGTTGAGGCCATATTTATTAATGTACTGCGTTCTAAAGTTACGTAGCCACATGGTTGAACTATATAAGGTTGAACCACAAGGATTTCTGTCTTTCAGTTCATCTTTCTTTTGTTGAATGGCAGCGAAGAGGCGTTGAAATTATTGGACAAAAAATTGAAGCAGTCTAGTCTATCCTATCCGAAGGCCTATCACCAAAATAAAAGGCGGCGAAGCGACTAGAACAACTTTTCTCCATAAAATTTCTAAAAAAAGAAGCTTAAAGCTTCGGCTCCAATTCTGGAGCCACACGATTTTCAAGGAATTTGTTCTTGTTTTCATACTTAGCTGGTTTCTTGTCCAGCCGCCTAAGTCTGGCTCGGTGTTTTGCATAAATATGTGGAGGGAGCTCTGACGACCGGCTGTAATGGAATGCAGGGAGGGCGTTGTGGAGGTTCCCACATAAGCTTTAAGAGCACGGGGCCGACACGGCGAGCCTCAGTGCGTTTTGGAAAGCTCTCGCTAACAGACCTACGCGTATTAGCCCAGCAGAGCACACCATTAAGGGAGCCACAACCCGATAACTGCCTATGACTATAGTCCGAAGATCTATTTGCTCTTGAACTATACAGGTTCCTCGAAGGACGATATGGGGAGTTGAGGAAGGCTTTCTATTTAAAGCAAACAAAATATAAACAGCCATTTCTTTCTGAAAAAGGCTTTACACCCATTGTGACCTCTATACCCACTCGCAAATTCCTCGGACTGGTTCTTCCACGCATACGTATCCCAACCGGGGTAACTTATTTAAAATTTTAACAGAGCCTTCGATTTTATGGAGTTAATCTTACTTTGAAGCTCAAGGCATCTCTCAATTAAATTTAATAAATCACAGAATCTTCAAAAAATGAGGAGAAAGACAAACACCAACTGGTTTAAAAAAAGATCCCTGAACCTTTTGAAGGGAGTCAGAACACAGCCTAAACAAACCACCAATCCTCCATTCAGATATATCAAGAATCTGTCCAACATTGAGCTTTCCGAAGATGAGATGAGATTGCTCTCAAAGGGCCTCAAATTCATTCCAACACCTAGCAAACAGAAAGCCGCAGATTTGATCAGAGCACTAAATGAGTTAAGAAGAACTATGAACTTAAGGGTTTTCTTCCATAATAAAACAAATAAAAAAACCCCTTTCCACACAAAATCAGTATGGAACCCCCCGCAAAGGGAAAATACCTCCCTGTTAAATTTTTACAAAAAAACCAAATATGAAATCACAAGAATGTCTCTGACGAAAGCTAAAAATAATCTCTCCCATCCAGAGAGGGAAGCGCTTAAAACCCTGCAATCCAAGAAAGACATCGTGATCAAACAAGCGGACAAAGGACGTGCAATCGTAATACTGAATCGGGACGATTATATAAGAACAATCGAGAAACATCTGAACACTGAACACTACAAAAAATTGGAAGAGAATCCCATTAATGACATTTATGAAAAAGTTCAACTCAAGTGTCTGGAGTTAAGACAATCAGGTCAAATAAATTCCAAAACTTACCATTTTCTGAAACAAAACAAGGAAGAAATAAGGACACCTACCATCTACATGCTACCTAAGATACACAAGAAAACAACCCCAGGTCAATCCTTCATTGGGAGGCCAATTATTTCAGCTTGTGGAGGGCCATGCGTGAAACTAAGTGCCTTTGTGGACTATTTCTTAACACCAATCGTTAAAAAGCAAGAAACATACTTAAAGGACAGTCATGAACTTCTAACTATGTTGAGAACACTCCATTTGAGCCCGAACGTATTACTGATATCGCTTGACATTGTATCCATGTACACGAACATCCCACTGGATGAAGCGATCAAAACAACTTTGGACTCCTATCACGCTAGTTCTGTCCCATACGAAATTGATAAGATTAACACCGTGGACTTTAGAGATATCCTTAGGCTTGTCTTGGAAAACAATTTCCTTGAGTTCAATGGTAACTATTATAAGGAGGTCATTGGAGTGGCCCAGGGGTCGAAATGCTCCCCGGAAGTCGCCGATATATTTATGTACTCTTTGGAAAAAACTTTTGTCGAAAGAATACCAGGTTTAATTTTGTACAAAAGATACCGCGACGATATTCTGATCGTAAGCGAAGCAAACAAACTGGAGATTCACTCACTGGTCGAGGATTTGAATTCGCTCCATAAGTCAATTAAATTCACTATGGAACTGAGCGACAGAGAGCTTAATTTTTTGGATCTCACAATATATAAGGGAGAAAACTTTAAGAAGAACGGCATTCTTGATACAAAGACTTTCTTTAAACCAACCGAAACATTCCAGTACATACATGCAACCAGTGCCCACCCGAAATTCTGTTTGAAAGGTTTTGTAAAAGGCGAAATTCTAAGACATAGAAGGAACTGCAATAACGAATCAGACTTCATAAAAACTGTGCTAACCTTTTACAAACACTTAATGCAACGGGGATACAGTAAAGAACTGTTCTTGAAGCAACTCAGAGAAGTTCTAAAAGAGAACAAAGATGAAAATAAACCCGTGGAACGCACACTCTTCTTTAAAACCAAATACAACCCTGGCACTTCAAACCATGAACTGAGAAAAATTCTAAATAAACACTGGAATCTTATAAATAAAGACCCCGAACTCAAACCCATCTTCCCTTCACCCCCGATGATTTCCTTCAAAAGAAATAAAAACTTGAAAGAATTCCTGGTCAGATCGAGGCTAGAAAAAAAAAAATCAGAAAACGAAGATTTAAATATACTAATAGGTTTTCTGTAAAAGAAAGGTATCCATCAATATATCCCAGAGCCTGATGAGAGAAACGAAATAGCGTCATTAATAAAACAACCTAAAAAGAGCATTTATTTATTAAAATGACGCTATCGCTCTGAAAGGATTTTTTAAGAATTTTATTAAATCCAACTAAAGGAAAGAGCTCAATAAATGGAAGAAATATACTTATACATATCTATAATCAAACCTAAAAGGAATTTATCTAACTCAGTCACCTCCCCATCTATATGGCCTCTCGGTTCATGCACTCCTAGGAGAGCTCTCTGTTCCCCGACAAAGTGGGTTTCAAAGAATGTCAAACTCTTGGTCCCCAAATCCCAGAATTTTTGTGATAAACTCAGGGAGTGATGTCAAGTCCTCTAGTAATGAGTGAACCTTGAATTTGGCAGGGACCAGGTAGTGGAGCGACTACGCTCGGAGGGACGATAAGTAACATACAACGAGTTTGTAGAGAGTGCGTGGCCCTTGCAGCTGCTCCGAGAATTCATGTAATGCAGAGGCACAACATTTAAACGGATGGCCTTAATTTGTGACCACTAAGGAAGCCTTGGAGGGATGAGTGACCTATACAAAAAGTATATCATATATAATCTGGTATATTATGAATCTTCAAACACAAAAAATTAAAAGTTTTGTCTGGGTGTTTTTAAATCGCTCGTATAAACAGAGAGGGTTTTCTGGGATAAACAGCTACGTGTTTCTTGGGTTGCGCCTCGTTTTTGAACTAGGTTAGATCATTTTAGGTTTGTTTACATTAGATTAAGTTAGGTTAGGTTAGACCAGGTCAAATTATGTTAGATCAAGTTAGGATACATTAGTTGAGGTTAGATATGGTTAGGTAAAGTTAGGTCAGGTTAGGTAAGGGTAGGTTAGGTAAAGTTAGGTTAGGTAAGGGTAGGTAAGGTTAAGTTAGGTAAAGTTAGGTTAAATCAGGTTAGGTTAGTTTAGGTTAGGTAAAGTTCATTTAGGTTAGATCAGTTCAGGTAAAGTTAGGTTATGTTCAGTAATGTTATAATAGGTTAGGTTAGGTTAGAATAGGTTAGGTTATGTAGGATTTAGTTGAAATAGGATAGGATATTTTAGGGTAGGTTAGCTTAGGTTAGGTTACGTTAGTTAAAGTTGGTTTGGTGAAATTAGGTTGGGTCAAGTCAGGTAAGTAAGGTTGTGTTATGTTACGTGAGGTTATGTGGGATTATGTTGTGTTGTGTTATGATATGTAATGTTGTTACATATTATGTTATGATATGTTATTGAATGTTGCAAAATGATAAGTTATGTAAGGTATTGTAGTGTGAGTTGGGCTAATCATTAGGAGAGAGTAGTACTAATGTGTTTCGAGAATACACTGCGGGTGTTTGTTAGATGTTTTATTTTCTTTTATTTCTAGTGTTTTTTCATGGAAGTAGGTATAGATAGGAGTGACGAGTATTGAGAGATATGTGCGAGGGCACGTATTTAGTATATATAAGTGTATTTTTTAAAGTAAATTTGATTGTTGTGTGTTTGTTAATAGTATTTAATGTATTGTATGTATAGTTTTATGTATGTAGTGGTTTAATGTTGTAGATTAACACTTTGACTGCGACGTGCGCCATATATGGTACACGCATGCATGTCCCAAACTGCGACGTGTGCCATATATGGTACATTCATTAAAAATGAAACTTTTTAAAAAATCATATATGACGTAAACCATGGTCATATCCTTATGTAAGCTTGATAGAGTATAGAGAAAAAGGAGTATAAAAGCATATAATAATGTTATAAAATTTAATCAGAACAATATAAGTAGTTCAAATCAAGCACAAGTTGTTCAGTGCGTATAAAAGATAAAAATTCAAGAACTGAAAGGCGTCCGGTATTCCAAGCTGAAAATGTATTGTTTATTCAATAATGAATTAATATAGCAGAAACAATAAACACTGGGCATCTGAAAGTACTAAACTCGAGGTGAATGCCTCAATGAGAAGCAAGATACACAGAGAAATGGCTTTCCATCACAGGAATCACAAAAGGTAGTCACTCTTCTTGCTTTTTGTCTTGCTTCTGAACTGCCTTCATTGTTGGCGATAATTTCATAGCAGGACCTGCAACATTTTCTTATTTTGAGTTTTGGTCCTTCTGCTTCAACTAATGTATGGCTGGAACGCAGGCCTGCAATATCAGAACGCTTTGGTCCTGGAAGCATTTCTTTATTCACTTTTCCTGTAACAAGTGACATGACTAGACATTCTTTGAATTTGGTTACACCCATTGTCTCTTGTTGGCTGTAAAATTGATTAAACAGTGCCCATGCATTTACTACCGCAATTCCTGTTAACAACTCAATGGCCAATTTACAGTACCATTTCATGCTTCTTCTGAGTGCAGTATTGTAAGATGTCATCTGATCTGATTTATCAACCCCGCATTTAGCAGTATTGTAGTCCATAACACTTTGTGGTTTGCGTATCTCAGTACCATGCCGAGTATTTTTCCCTGAGGGTTGAAGATTGCCTGAATGTTCAGGCACAGTTGACAACATTAGCACGTTCCTTTTATCTTTCCAGTTGCAAACTTTTTGGGCGTTCTTTATCGAAAGTGGGGAAGGGGCTAGGCTGCATGGAATAGAAATATTTTGGGGTTTAGCGTGTGGGTTACGACCATTGTTTTGGCGGCTTGCAGGTCATTGGCTTGCTGGTTTACATCCATGAAGGAATTTAGTCCCTGTGGCTTTCAGCAAGTAGTCATGTTGGCTAATTTGCTCTGCAGCATGCTTGCGCATGGGGTGAAGTATGAAAATTATGCTGGTATTGGGCAATGCTGGGTTATTTCAGTCGTCCCGAAACGCTGAGAGGCAATGCTTTTCGATATTTCCGCACAGTTCCACAGTAGTACGTTTTTTCCTGCAAGAGTTTTTCGGCCAAGAGAATGGACGAATAGAAGTTATCTGCATAAATAGTTAATCCCTGCAGAAGAAGGGGCCTTGAAAGCTGCAGGACAACAGACTCCAAATGCATAAATGTTGGTTCTTTGGCCATGTTGCCACAATATATCTGAAAGTTCCAAGTGTACGAGCTGGGTGGGCAGAGCTTATATAGCTTTATTCCATATTTATGGGCTTTTCCAGGAATGTATTGTCTAATGTTTACTCTCCCTCCAAAAGGAATGACGGACTCATCAATGACAACACTTGATCCTGGAGTGTAGACTGATTTGCAGCTCTGAGAAACACTGTCAATCAGTGGCTGGATTTTATGCAACCTGTTCTGTTGGTCAATCACTTCATTGTCATTAAAATGAAGCATATTCAGTAGCAACTGAAATCTGTCTCTAGACATGTGATTTCGAATGAAAGAATAATTGTATATCTCTTTTTTGGACCAGTAGTGCTCAATTTTTGGTGCTTGAACAAGACCCATGCACATAACAATCCCAAGAAACTTTCTAATTTCACTTGCATCTGTGGGTATCCATTTGGATAGCCTCGATTTCCTTATCACAATCTTTGACTGAAGAACTTGAGTGGCATACCTGTTAGTTTCATTCACAATAGCAGTAATAGTTTCATCGGTAACAAAGAGCAAATATAAATCCAATGGCAATACCAAATTATTCTCTCCGCTTGGCGTTGGCTTCTTCAAAAGCTGCTCCTTTCCTGTAAATGTGAAAGTTTGCTGTGATGCAACAATTGGAGTCCACAGACTGTCTGCATTTACTTCATAGTTATCCATTTCTGTTTCATCATCTTCAGCCTCACTTTCAACATCATCTGGCGAGTCGCTCTCAGAACTCGCTGAAGAATCTTCTTCCGGTGCATTTGGATTGATGTCGCTACTTGATGAACTGCAGTTAGAGCCAGCATCGTCCTCATCTGGTCGATGGCGCTGAGTACCGTAAATTGATGGTGGATCCATGGGTCTGCATAAAAAATAAAATGATTAAAATGATGCCTAAAATATTGATATAAGCTTAGACTAGGTTGTTCCATACATCAAAACTTCTATAATGGATATTTTTCACTGCAGTCGGCTAAAAAACGCCGTGTACCTCATATGGCGCACAATGCTCCATAAGCATGAAAGTTCAATTACAGGCAATTTGAGCCACTATTGGTGCACAAACATCGTGATGTTATATGGCGCACGGTGCCCCCAAAGATAGCAGTTAATATTACAAGCGACGTGTACCAAATGAGGCTCACTGTTTTTATGTCAGAATCTTGTAGAACTCACTTTTAGCAGAGCGGCGCACAACCTCCTACTTTGCTGTCAACTCTAGAACTAAAGTTATCCAGGTTTGAACATGTCGCACCACGGGCTAACAGGCTATTTTGCGAGTCGCAGACTCGCAGTCAAAGTGTTAAGAATGATTGGGGCTATGTTTGGTTATCTGGTTTAACAACCATTTTAACTCGTTTGCTTGTTCTAATTGAAGAAATTGTATTTACAAATGTACTATTGCAAATTGCCTCAAGCCAAGGGTACGCAGCAAATGAAGATGTCTCATTAGTGAGCTGCAGAAATTTAGGCAAGATTAGCTAGTTTAAAATCAATATGTATTTGACTGCCTTCAAAAAAACTGACCTAGACAAGACTAGATTCACTAATTTCTGAAAAGACGTGGACTATTTTTGAGGTAATTAACCATAATGGGGCTGCTAATATATTTGGGAATAAAATATTTGTTGGAATTGCTGATTTTCTCAATTCCAAACCCTTTTTCAACTAGGCAAAGTGCATTTTTGCAATTAATAGAATAAAATTTGTGGAATTCATGAGTAAGGAATGAAAAAACCAATTAACTCTTTTGCAGGCAAATGTAGAAATATTAATTAATTTAAAATTTTGATGTGACTAGAGAAATATATTGAATTACAAAATATATTTATTCCTATGAATTTAGAAAATTATGCATATTGAAGGATTTAACAGCTGTTGGAGGATATTTTAAATACAATCACTACCATAGCAACATGTTATATAATATAAATTTAAACATTTAAATGTAAAGATACTCAATTTATTTAATTTCATCGAGTTACTTCAATTAAATGAAAAGATGTTACCACTTCCATCTTTTGAAAAAAAGTTTTAAAAAGCATCCATTTCATTGTGTGAGTAAAAATTTTGCTTTAAAAGCTTGTATTTTATTCATGGGTATGATAGGGGATGATGCAATGTATGGAATGTTGGTCTCAGATCATAGATGACAGGCATAACATGGCCTCTAACTCAAACTGTGGTTAGCGGTGGGTCTTTTGGAAATGATTTTGAGTGACCATATATGCTAACTTGCCTGCCATAAAGTTAAGAAAATAAAGCAATGAGTCCTAATTTGCATGAATTATTGAAAATATTTTAACTGCATACTATGCTTCAGTCTTTGATAATAATTGATGAAGTTACTCATTACTTTAAAAGTTCTATGGCCTGAAGAGTACATTGGGACAATCATATAATTTATCTTTCAGAGAAAAATCATATTTTATGAATAAACATACGAGATAGCTAGGTTTATGAAATATTATACTGTGCAAATTTGATTGTTTATGCCCATTAGAAGCAATTCAAGGTGCTCAAGAACAATTACAAGTTAGCATGTATTCATAGTTGAATTCTACTTTTTATGTAGAGTGCTTGAAAATGGTATTCTCCAACTACATGCCTGCCCATGCATTGCCCAGGAAAGGCTGGGCTGCTGTACAGAATATTACTCAATTATCAGATGGTGCTTGCACAGTCAAACTTGAGGGTAAGATGAATTTTTCCTGTAGTTGTATTCTGTTTATTGTAATTAGGCTGAAGTGGTATAATTTGATGAAGTTCATGTTCATTTTATTTAATTTACTTTCATGCATCTTGCCCTATGGTCTATGTTCTGGTATCATGATCAAGTGTCATATTATTCCATACCTATGTTTCACATAACTATGTATTTACTTACTAATAACATTACTTATTCTTTCTATCTAGCAAGGGCTGACTGTGATTCAGTCCCTGTGCCTGAAATATGTACAGTGTACATCAAGGAGGAGCTTAAAGAAGATTGGGAGGACATAACATTAAAAGATGAGCCTATTTATTTTGAAGATGATCAGGTAAAACATTCTGTCTCATGACTTACAAATTTTTTCTCATTTTTAGCATAATAGCATTTACCTTACCTATATCAATTGTTGTGTAGTGACTAGATAGTATTATAGTGTTAACCTCCAAGCTGAGAGATATTATAATTTCTTTGAGATTAATAGTTGTAAAGCCGTACCTTGTCGCATAGTTAATACCGTAATAACTAAAATAAATAATCACCTTGTAAGCCAGTTAATTATGGCCAGTTCAGAACTATAAAATATTTCAATGATAGTACAATAGTTTAAGCCCTAATAATGTTAAATATTATTCCGTAAGTCATAGAATAAGTGTAAGCTAAAAATCTTCTCACGCGAATCTGGCAACATCGCCGCCGAGCGGGAGAACAATACGGGTCATTTCGAAATAAAACGCGCCGCCGTTCGGTGTTTGTGTGTGGTACGCTAGGCTAAATCAGAAAATTCCACTGGGTGAGTAGAAATTATTATTAATGATGTAACCTTGTTTAAGTTGTTTTGGATAAATGTTCCGTGTAGCTATTTTAGCCTTGCGAGTGTTAATTAACTGAGAAAGTCTAGTTGAGATAATCGGCTAGGCTAGAGGAGCGCCACTAAAAGACTAATCTTGCTTAGCCCCCAGGCTGATGTAGGAGTGGCTCGGGTGACCACATATTCAAATAGGCGTTGATGGCGAATGAGATAATTATTATGAAGTATGGTCTTATTTTGATTTTCCAATTTTTAACTTAATTGGGATTTAAATGTAAATTTCATTTATTCATTCCAATTAGATTCCAACTTAGTAGTAAATTTCCCTTGCTCAGTTGATGTGTTACCAAATGAGTTAAAGTTGAGGAATAGAATAAAATTGATACAAATTACCAGAATTTCAATATAATAATGACATAATTTGAATAGAAACCTTAAATTATAATGTGAAGTGGTAATACTTACATTTGGATGTATGATTAAATTATATTTTGAAATGATAGGGAATTATGACCTTTTTCCAGTTTAAAGATGCGAAGAAAATAACTTCATGTCATATCTGTGTTCATTTATTGTGTAAATTCATTCATATCTGCGTTGATTCATTATGTATTAAAAATGTTAATTTCAAAATATTTTAAATGATAAATATGAGTCATATTTTTACCATTGTTCAAATGTGAGTTAAGTAGCCAATTAGACAAATTCAAGCGGAGAACTTTAGAAAATGTAAAATGATAATTCTGAACCTTGGGTTAATTTAGCATCTGAGATTTGAGTTAGCTTAGGAGTTTAGAAATAACAATGTTTTGATGTTGATGATAACTTATCCGTGCCAAGAGGAAATAAATCATAGGCGTCGAGACGTTGAGTAACAGCACTAGATTCAGATAACATGTCACTGTTTTGATAGCAAGTTAACATAATTTTGATTAGCCTTAGAGGTTAAATATTGAGGAATATAAATGAAACCTAATAAAATTATAAAATAATAATGTATTCTAAATTGATATTAAAATTGCATTTGGATGGTAAAATTTAATTATAGCTCGAATTTATACAGCGTGGATCTTCTATGTGGAGATGTTGATAAATTAACTCCATGCCATGTCCTAATGTCTAACCCCTTGTCCTCAGGTCTCACTCGGATATACTTAATAAACCAGAAGAAAAACCACCACAGAAGTTCTTTATATCCATCATATAGCAACTGAACCGAACCGAATACCAACAGCCCCGATTTACCTAGACTGCACGATTAGGCATATTCTCCCTTATTACGGGTACTTTCAACATCCCAAAGTTGAATAGTATTTCTTGGTTGAGAGAATATTTTTACGATAAACAAAGTTTTCAGCCACAAAATTTTTATTTGGTGACAAATTTGCCTCTCTGTATTCCAGTTGGTTAGAATTTATCAATGTTTCTGTGGCAACAGGATGTCGACCTGGATTTCTTGACATCTGTGGCAACTTCAGAAGACCCTGTTGCTGTTAATGATCTGTTGACAACTAAAAGATCTTCAGAAGTTACTAATGCTGTTGATGATCTGTTGGCAACTAAAAGATCTTTAGAAGTTGCTGATGCTGTTGACGACCTGTTGGCAACTAACAGATCTTTAGAAGTTGCTGATGCTGTTGAAGATTTGTCCACATCTGAGGGATCTGTTAGAAATGCTGGTGATGGGGATGAAAGGCCTCTATTTAAAGCTGTATCTAGAGATGCTACTTGCAGGAGCAGGTTGTTTAAGCCAGAAGATGCTAAAGATGTTGCTTGCTTGAGCAAATCTTCTACCCCTGAAGCAGTATCAGAAGTTGCTGCTGATGGTCGAGCACAGCCTGCACTAAAAGGTACTGTGGGAGATATAACTTCAGTTGATAGGCTACCATCAGCTAAGAAAGTTAGAAAAGATTCAGCTGATGGCAAGAACCTCTCTTCATCTGACAGATTTGCCAAAGATCCTGTTAAAAGTGTTGAACTGCCAGAACTGGCAGAGCTTGTTGTAGGCACTGCTGACAGTTGTGAGTTGTGTGCACGTGCTGCAGCTGCAGAAGAGATCAATGGTAGTAATGACAATTCTGAAGCATCCAGCACAAAGCCCTTCATCAAACAGCTTTCATCAAAGCAGAATCTTAATCTTCAGCATTCATCTACATTAATTCATGAGTGCTCTGACTGTGAATACCGTAGCAAATTCAAGTATCAACTTCAGCTTCATATCCTTGCTAAGCATTCATCTGGGAAATTATTCCAATGTCCTGATTGTCAAAATGAATATTTCACCAAGAGGACATTTAGACATCATATTCTATTGAAGCATTCATCTGAACAGCTAGAGCATAGTGTCATGGCGGCTGAGGTCTTGACATTACGGCCTCATGGCGGCTGAGGTCTTGACATTACGGCCTCATGGCGGCTGAGGTCGATTTTTTCTTAAACCAAGATAAACTATCTCTCGCCAAGCAGGGCAAGGAAGGGAGGGGAAATAAGCGACTCATTTCAAATGCTTGATGCAATAACTGAATATAACGAGCATGTTAGAAGGAACAGGCGTGATGAAAACTCGCGGCATCGATTTGATTTAATTAAGTTAGGCCTAACAGATAAATATTCAGTGCCTGATGGTTGTTCTTGGTTTGGCATCTCTGTTTTTACTATCAATTAATCTATGCCCATCACAGTTGCTTGACTAAAATATGTAGTTTAAATGCTGCCGTTGGCATCATCGCTAATTATTTCTTTGCAGATTTTAACGACGTATTTCAATTGATGGCCAATGGGCCACGTCACCCTACCATTCGTCAAGCCGCTGAGGTTGCATTTGATGTACTGACTTGCCCTGCACGGCCGGAGTGCAGTAATGGGATGGATTGTTCCTGATAATTTTACTCGTCGTCATCTCTCATTTCAAGATGTTTGTCTGGGAGCTGTCGCAGGTTCTACTCAGTAGACTAGATTGTGATGGATTATAACGGAGCCGCTGCTATAGGTAACTTACAATTTGCTACTATAAAGTGATATGTGGCCTACACATCAATATAAGAGAAAATATATCATCTTAAATTCTCGTGCCTTAGAGGCATATTGTTGCTTCCCAATAACAATGAGACAGGAGTAACACAAAACTACATTAATAAATTATAAGTTGTACTATACCATTACATTAACCTGGATAAGGACTATGCAGTTTAACAATCCGCATTGTTATAGAAGATATTCTCATCTTATTCAAGTTCACAAATGTGTTGAGCGCGTGTAGAAATTTAAAGTTCCTCTGGTGGTGTGGTCATTATTTTCCCTTAATAATAATAATAGCGGTTTCAGCGTTTATTAGGCCGTAGGCCTGTCGCCGATTCTTAACATCGCAGAACATTCACAGCATTTTGCGGTCTCGAACTCGCAACTCACTGATTCAAATTTTCTTTGCTTAACCGCCCGGCCTCCTTGCCGATTCTGACCAGAAACTGGCGCACAGAGCTGACCGAACCCGCGCCTCTCTGTGCCAATCCTGGTACTTTGAACTTTAACCACTGGGCCACCCACTTGCATACTGGAGCGAATGACTTGCGCCTATAACCAAACCCTCTACCGCCGTACGTCACTATCCGGGAACATAACTTTCAGCTTAAATTATACGTAAACTATTAAGTGTTGCAACCTGAGGACGTTTGTACGCAACAGAGAACATTTTAAAGTTGTACGTGGCGGCAACCATCAGTGCAAGTCATTTTACGCTCACTAGCAACGTATCCCTTTTACCACGTTTTTCTTAGCTCGCTTTCGTGTCCGTCTGTCTGTGATGATCAAATCTTGCAATCGATATTTCACCAACTTTCCCGCTAGCTAGCGCTCTGAAACTTTTAGGGGAGCTCAGCTCCCGATGACAATACAATAATCAATAATTTGTTGCACGTTTCCAGGCGTATTTATTTAATGAAATGTATGAAATGGAATACGGGAACAACAATGTATCCCATCGAATACAATTTTCTACAGAACTTCGAAAATAATTTTCTTTCGTGCATTTGCGTGGCCAACTGAAATAAAATTATCATGGTACGTATCATCGATACGTACGTCAAGTCAAGTAAATTGGCTCGCAACAACGTTTTTCATGTATAGCAACGGACTAAAAAGGAAAAAATAAAATACTTAAAAAAACACGTTTTTCTTGTGGACTAAAAAGTAGAAAATAAAATATGGCCCACCCCAAAAAACGTGGGTCGGGCTGTATGTTCACCATCAAATTTCCAAAATTCGTGTGTTGTATACTTTTCTCTTTAATCATAAATCTGCCCGACACACGTTTTTTGGGGCGAGCCATGATTTATTTTCTACTTTTTAGTCCACAAGAAAAACGTGTTTTTTAAAGTTTTTTTTAAGTATTTTATTGGGAAGTAGGCGCGTGACAATATTGCTCCGGTTACTTGTGTCAGGCGGTAGAGGGTTAAGCTCACTTGTTCGGTCATCAGGAAGTGAACATGCGGGTTGCTCGTGCCTACTTTCTTGATATTTTACAGGAAAATATACGCTTCCTACAGCGCGGTACGACGAAACGCTCATAACTACGCAAAAACTCTCTGAATGCCCGGATTAATATAATTGCCGTTCACTAGCAACAAACTGCTCCTTAAAATCTCTGACTTGGCAGTGGTGCATGTGTGCAGTTAGTCGACAACTCAAGCAAGTATGGCGACATACCAAAAAGTAAAAAGCCTGCATTATCTTACAAACGCTGGCAGTGCCGTAAAATACGAATAGTTATTCGTCGTTTCAGCCAACACGAAAAACTAAAGACCGAACATAAGCAATGCATTCGCAATTATGGTGGAATATATTTCCTACACCGTCAAACCTTCCTTAGACTTCTGTAAGCTTCAAAAAAATGAGCGTCGATGAAAGATTGGCTGAATCGCTTGGGATATTTTCCCGACATTCTCAGTGGAAGAGGAATTCTATCAACAAATAAACCTATTTCTCCGTGCTTCAGAATTCCCTTATGATATAGTGAACGATACAATGAATGCAACATTCCAACTTTTCAGAAAATGATAACAAATCACGACAGTTATTCAATTTATTTAATATATTTACACGCCACCTCACGAAGAAATCATTCACAAAGGACGACATTAGCGAGTCTGGCGTCAGCGCGGTCCAGCGTCCAGTCGCTGAGGGGCGCCAGGGGGGCGGCGGCGGTGGTGGGCGGCAATGGGGCGGCGGGCAGCGAGTGGCGGACGCGCGGCGCTGCGCGGCGGAAGGGCAGCGCCGGGCGGCTGGCGGTGTCCCCGAAGAGCGCGTCGAGCGCCACGGCCGCGGCCTCCTGCACCGCAACCTCGACGCTCTCACCAGCACCTGCAGGAGGCCGGGCATGAGGGGCAGGGAAGGAGGGGACTAAGGGAAGGAAGGCGGGGAGTAAGGGAAGGAAGGAGGGGAGTAAGGGAAGGAAGGAGGGGAGTAAGGGAAGGAAGGAGGGGAGTAAGGGAAGGAAGGAGGGGAGTAAGGGAAGGAAGGAGCTAATCTAAGCTAATTACGTATTGAAATATTTATCAAATAAGGCGCTGAATAATAAATAATTTAGCGCTAGATCAGACAAGGTATACTTTATATTTATGTAATTTAGGTACTACATAAATATTCATCAAACAAGGCCTGACCCGCAGCAAGGTAGCTACGGTCGCGCCTATATAAGGCGACGGTGTAGACGGCCTCCAGTGTGCCGCTGCCGGCGCTGGCGACAAGACGCGCCTCCACGACGTCGTCGCTACGCCCCAGCAGCTCCTGCAGCAGCGCTAGAGGGTCCGAGACCTGCGGGCAACCCCGGATAATATTATTAATGTGATTAAACAGCCATGCCATCCACACATGCAGGCAGCCATGCCATCCACACATGCCGGCAGCCATGCCATCCACACATGCAGGCAGCCATGCCAGTAAGGGGAGAAATGGGTGAGGTAAGGGGAGAAATGGGTGATGTAAGGGGAGAAAAGGGTGAGTTAAGGGGAGAAATAAGTGCAGGGTGACGGATATCAGTGGATGGGTTAAGGCAGGTAATGCGGAAGTAAGATCTTGACCGTCCTATAGGCCCATAAATTCTAAACTCAAATTTCAAACAAGGCTTCCTTCCTCATGCAAGTACTGAGTAACTGAGTGACTGAGTAACACTCAGGGAACCAAGTTCTGGGCTGTGTAAGTACTGCACAAGGACCAAGTTCTGGGCGGCGTAAGTACCTCACAAAGACCAAGTTCTGGGCGGTGTAAGTACTGCACAAGGACCAAGTTCTGGACGGCGTAAGTACCTCACAAGGACCAAGTTCTGGGCGGTGTAAGTACCTCACAAGGACCAAGTTCTGGGCGGTGTAAGTAGTGCACAAGGACCAAGTTCTGGACGGCGTAAGTACCTCACAAGGACCAAGTTCTGGGCTGTGTAAGTACTTAAGTACCTCACAAGGACCAAGTTCTGGGCTGTGTAAGTACCTCACAAGGACCAAGTTCTGGGCGGTGTAAGTACCTCAAAGAAGATCAAGTCGCGCAGCCCCAGGGAGCGCCCAAAATCAGTCAGGTTCTCTTCACTTATCAGGTAATCGACCAAACTCCTGGAGAAGGCATTGAATATTATAGCATTAAAAATTACAAAAGCAGAGAAAAACATCACTTAATCAGTTTAATACATAATAATTCAAGATCAAAAATCTTTCTCAAGTTTCTTTACTGCAGCACTACGACAACAACAAACCCCATGATACATCTCTAAAGTTATAGTTTAGTGCCATAAAATTACATTAATCCTACAATCCTTCGTTCTTGGCTGCCTCACTTGCGCCACTCATCTTTATCCTTTATTGCATATGAGGCTCAATATCCGTTTTCTTGACTTTGATTTAACACAAAATTATTTGGAGTGTTTGAGACGTTCAAATATGAAAATGTTTTAATATGCACCTTGAATGTTGCATTCAGTAATTTCAGGAATTAACGTGAAGCTTTCCAACACTTGTTTGAAAAACACTTCTCAAAAACACTGAGATGCTTCATTCAGACATGATTGTGTGTTGCCACATTATCCCGGGTACCTCACTGACTGGGTACCTACAGCAGACAGCCTTGAATGTTGGTCAACGTTATGAACAAACAGCGTTCTTATATTTGTGTTTCTCTTCATTTTCCCATCATTTTGATTCTCTTTGAGGAATATTATCCTGAGCAGGCCCTTCTTCTTACAGATATACATGGCAGCCTAAGTACACATGGCAGCCAATTTCTCAACTGAAGGGATTGGGAGGCTGCAGAGAAAAGCCATCAGTGGTTGGCTGATGCAGGAACAAACTCTTACCCATTTTTGATCGTATTGCCCGAGGAGATTTAAAATTAATTTGGATTGCATTTTATGATAAAATAAATAGACACTGACTGCTGTGCCTCCAAGGGGATGCTTGGCCACACCCGCGCCACAAAGTCTGCCGAGTGTCGCATGATGAGCGCCTTGCCCTCTGATGCGAGGGCCTCGTTGCTCTCAAGACCTTCAGACGGCACTTGCAGCAGCTCCTGCTGCCTCGCTAAATATGATCTGAAAATGTCAAATATTCTTTAAACAATTACCCAAAAACTTGGAACAAACGACCTGTGACACAAAATATCATATTGGATAGATTGCCAAGAAATTAGCTTGTAAGCTGAATTTGGAAGGTTTTAATTTGTTGTTAAAAACAAAAATTAATTATCAAGTCCAGCATCTTAACTAGATTCAATCATTGTTATAAATTGATAATGCATGAAAATAATTTCCTTCATTTCCTTCTCAACATAATTCCTTACATTGTAACTGCTTTCCAAAGCACCTGAGATGTTGTCATTGCAAAAGGCAGCACATCTTGCATCAGAACATTTAATTCAAGATATTTCAAGTTGAAGTGTCCTTGTATAGCAAATTTGAGTAAATTGAAACAACATTTAATTACTTTTCAAATTATCAAGAAAAAAAACACCTGTCCATGAGAGCTGTCACCAACACTTTGCGGTCAAACTCTTCTTGCAGACGAGCACCAAAAGCATAAAGCTCGGCATCCAGGTTCCTGGTTAAAAAATGGGATGAAAATATTACCTATTTATAGGCATAGCACAAATTGCCTGTACATTGAAGTTGCCAAAACATATCAGTTATTAGACTTTAATAAAAATTCTGAACAAAAATATCACATTCTCATTTGATGGTGATCTGAAAAGTACTCAACAAAAAATTATAGTGCAGCAAAATGAAAATAATAAAAAAAAGATTCAAAATATATTTCAACATGGATATCACTTGAAATACTATATGCATAAATGAACATCTAAATAGCTTGAGGTTAAGCTTATATGTGAGCATTCATCAAGCTCCTGCTCAGGTGTACTGACACAAGTTTGAGAAATTGGTTAGAATTTAGACACTTAATTTAGCTTCCTCACAATGAATTCATCTCATCCTAATTATAGAGTATAAATATTAATAAGCAGTTCTGATTGGAAATGGAAACTTTACAGTAAAGACATATTTAATATTTTTCAAATAATGTGTCAAAAGTTTGATGAAATAAATTTCCAATGTTATCCCAAGGCAAGTTACCATTCTATGAAGGTAGACCGAACCTTCTCCACAGTGTGGCCACGTCTCAACATCTCATCGTTGCGACGTTTGAGCTCCATAAAGTATGGCATCACCCACTTGGAGCGACATCTTGCCTCTGTAACATTAGACACAATACATAACTAAATCTTAGTAGTCCTGACATAACTGAATTGAAATTTAAATTATATATTATATGCATTCATTCTAATGGCATTCTAACACACTTCTTGCATCAGCAAAAAATTTGTAATATGCTACAGAAGTGGCATGTACATAAACTTTCAACTTTTTGTCAAAAATATTCTAGAAAAGTACCTAAATTTTTTGTCTATAACATAAAGAAAATTAGAGCCCATTGATGCTCATCAGTTTCAATAAAATTGATTATTTAAATTTAAAAAATTACATACAAACATTCTAATCAATTGCTTTGCTCCATAAATATTTCTGATCCAAAATACAACTATAAACATTGAAAAAAAATTTGCATGAAAAGAACTTTTCCCAAGTAAAGAGATATTTGGGACATCCAAACATCAGTGAGAAATAAATATGTAGAAGAAAGCAACTCAATTATGTTAGCAGGATATGTTAACTAAGTCCTTGGCAAACCCTGCTAACACAACAGTAAAATGTAGAAGATGAACATAAATGGTTAATAAACTTGGTTCTAATTCATACAAACACTCCTGAAATCAAATAATCCAGTCAGTTTCCTCCAATTTAAGAACATAAATCTAGGATATTTCTAGTTTGAGTAATTTATTATCAAGAAAAATTGTAAATCATGTGTGTGTAAAAAATGTTGGAACAATTTTAGATAAAAGCTACATCCAAATTACACACCTGAAGTACTACTGAAGCCACGCACCGTTCCTCGGACCAACACAGAATTTAAAGCTTCAAGCTTCCAGCTCTGTTGCTTGCACCAACAGCACCCGATTCTTGTCAAACTTAGTTGAATGGGCAACATTTTACTCAAATCAGCATAAATATTTATAAACTAACAAGTGACACTTTGAAAGCCTATACAAAATCAAGTTTTAGGGATACCTATGGCACTTAACTTGAACTTTAATTCTAAAATAAAAATAGATTATCATTTGACAAGTTACCTGCTCATTATCAAACATGATTTTGCAAGTTGTAGTGTTGAAGCTTTGAAAAAAAATAATATTCTATACTCTTAAAGACTTGTAGCAGCCTTTTAACTATTTTCTAATCATTTCACAAAACTAAAATTATTTGTTTTATACTAGATAATTTACTTTGCTTTACATACCATAAAAGGGGGTAACTTAGACTAATTTTTTAATGATGCCAGTTTTTTACTAGCTAAATCAAACTTAAATTGAAACATGCAAAATACAGGTCTATACTCTAGGTTCACTCACCATAAATTGCTGGCTCCTGCCTCTCATAGTTTTGATGTAATTTCAAAAAAAGTGATGGTCTTTGTTACCCCAGCTCTTGGGGTAGGTATCTTAGACTGGGTGGTAAAATCAATTATAATTTTTGGTAAAATAACTCCAGGTTTTGGTGCATTGTAGTAGAACTCTTCTAGTTATATATGCAAATGACAAATTTGAGGAAAGTGTCATAGTTTACAAATGGGGGCGACGCCCTTGAATGGGGGAACTTAGACCACCTAATGTCAGCCATGACGGGGTAATATTGACCGGCTTGGAAATTAAGTTAAACTTACCATATATAAGACTCTGTAGAGTCTGAAACATAAAGAAAAAACATTAATAGGTGTATCAAACATAAAATATGTTATATATGGTAATTTTAAATCAATTTCCAAGCCAGTCTATGTAACCCCGTCAGGGCTGACATTAGGTGGTCCAAGTTCCCCAATTTGGGGGCGGCACCCCCCATTTACAAACTATTGACACTTTCCTCAAATTTGTCATTTGCATATGTAACTAGAAAAATTCTACTACAATGCACCAAAACCTGGAGTTATTTTACCAAAAAATAGAAAAATTGGAGGGGGTTCTATGACAGGCTTCAAATAAATGAAATAATAGCTCTTTTTTATGGGTCACATTTTTTAACCTATTAGATATGCATAATTTTTTTATCTTCCTATTGTGTTGCGTAGCCTCAGTATTAGGCCTTTAAAGCCCATTGACAAAATTTTTCTATTTCAAATACAGTTTTTGAACTTTAGGGTTTTTTTGTTAAAAAGAACTAAAAGTCATCTAAGTTACCCCAGGAGTCTAAGTTACCCCCTTTTACAGTATTGCATCAATTAGATACCATCAAACGGGATAATAAGGGATAGGCAGGGTAAATCGGGACAGTCATCCAACATTTTGTAGAAATGTCATAGCAGCAAAAAATAAAAATATTGCATAACTAAAAATTGTGGCATAAAGTTCAACATTTATGTAGCATAAAGTAAGTTAAGAAATCATACATTTACTACCTCTAAGACATCCCTTGAAAAATTATGAAAAGAGAGATTTTGGAAAATTACCTCTGCTAACTGCTAAGGTCTGTAGCAAAAAAAAAAAAAAACATTAGCCGCATCAACACATTTTACTTATATAAAAGTTGGAAATAGGTGTTAACTTAACAATGTGATTGATGGAATTTGCATACATATCTCATTAAAAAAAGACTGCCATTTCCAAAAGATGGAGTAATAAGGGACACCTCCCAAGCAGGCCGCAGGGTAATGAGGGGCACCCCAAAAACGCATTTACAGTAGAGCCTTGGTTAGCAAAGGCTCCAGTTAACAAAAAAATAATTAGCAACAAAAAATTTTGATTACATTTACCTTGCTTAGTGAAAAAAATTTCACTTAGTAACAAAAAATTAGAGCATCATTGGTCATCACAAAACTGTGCGGTGCGTAGAATGTCATTGATAGAATTGTGCACTGGACAAAATTGAATGCCAGGGCACAGATGGTGGATGCAGCGTCGCCAATATATGGGTTTTTAAGCCCCTAAGCATCGCCGGGTAATTTTAAGATGCATCGCCAGGTAATTTTTAATGAAAAGCCATTTATGCTGAGTATGTAATGAAAAACTATTTACAAGCCACAAACTTATTTACAAGGTTGCATGCACGTGTTACCCCAAATAACTAATTTTACCCTAAAAACAGCCCGATTGTATAGCAAGTGTCAACTGAACATGTGATAATGCAGTCTGACCGCTCTAATGTGACCGCAACTACATAATTTTAAGCTTGATGTTTACATTTTTTTGGCGGGAACTCATCGCAACTGATTTCCGGACAAGCTTCACTGCATCCTGATCCATCCAACATATCGGAAACCTTGCTTTTTTTAATAGTTGGCCAAAGACTGACAAATATATTAAATGCAAGAATTTCAATCTAAATGTGTTGGCAAGATCTTCTGAAGGCGGAAATTTTGCTACTGAAGCATAGCCAAGATCTTGCAATATTCATCCACTCTGCACAGTAGATTAGAAATTTTAGAATGAAAAGTAATTAATGTAATTGTAAACTATGATTTATTTTTTCAAAAAATATGAGTTGTCACTAAAATATTCTTCTGCTTCAGGTATGCTTTTTAGTATTTTTTTGTGAATTCACTCGACCCAATTAAAATGGTGCAAAATTACAAGCCATCCTGTAAGCTTACCGTCAACCGGGGCTACTCGGGACAGATTTGATCATTTTTTTGTTAATAACTGTTAATAACTTCTTACGATGAAATATTTCATAAACAAATTTAGGCTCATTTTATAGCTCTTTGCGAGGGCTATCGAATGGCATTGTCAAAAAAATTCCATATGCTATTTGTAAGGTGCCAGACGCAAAATAAAGATTGTCCCGAGTAGCCCCGTCGGTCAGGGCTTTTCGGGACAATGGGAATAAAACTTCATTTCAAAATATTTGAAGCATGCAGAGCGTACTCATTCATTACTAACAGTACTCTGAAGTCCTCCTCTTTCATTGTAGAATGTAGATGTAGAATAAATGACATTTTCTGAGATTTTTACTTGTTTTCCTTTATTGATATGATATTGCCATATACATTACCATAAAATGGGGTTACTTTGACCGGTGGGGTAACTTTGACCACTTTTCGTTTTTTAACAAAAACCCCCAAAACTCAAAAACGATTCGACATAGAAAAATGTTGTCAATGGCCATCAAAGGCCTAATACTGAGGCTACGTAACGCAATAGAAAGATTTAAAAAGTTTGCATATCTAATAGGTTAAAAAATTAAAAATGTGCCCCACAAAAAAGAGCTATTATTTAAAGCCTGTCAGAGTACCCCCTCCAATTTTTTTATTTTTTGGTAAAATAACTCCAGGTTTTGATGAATTGTAGTAGAACTCTTCTAGTTACATATGCAAAAGACAAATTTTAGAAAAGTGTCATAGTTTGCAAATGGGGGGTGCCGCCCCCCAATGGGGTAACTTTGACCACCTAATGGCAGCTGTGACGGGGTAACATTGACCAGCTTGGAAATTAAGTTAAAATTACCATAGATACATATATAACATATTTTATGTCTGATATACCTAATAATGTTTTTTTCTTTATGTTTCAGACTCTACAGAGTCTTATATATGGTAATTTTAACTTAATTTCCAAACCGGTCTATGTTACCCCGTCACGACTGCCATTAGGTGGTCACATTTTGCCCATTTGGGGCAGCGCCCCCAATTTGCAAACTATGACACTTTCCTAAAATCTGTCTTTTGTATATGCAACTAGAAGAGTTCTACTACAATGCACCACAACCTGGAGTTATTTGGAGTTATTTTACTAAAAAATAAAATTGATTTTACTACCCGGTCAAAGAAACCCCAAGAGCTGGGGTAACAAAGACCATCACTTTCTTTTAAATTACATCAAAACTATGAGAGGCAGGAGCCAGCAATTTATGGTGAGTAAAGCTAGAGTATAGACCTGTATTTTGCATGTTTCAATTTAAGTTTAACTTATCTAGTAAAAAAATGGCATCATTTTGAAAAAAGTGGTCAAAGTTACCCCATTTTACGGTA